GGGCACAGGGCAAAGAGCACCGGTTACAGCGGTGTGTGAAGTACCACCTAAGGATCTATAGAAAGCGTGAATGCAGCTCAGTGAGGGCAAATCCCTACCACCAACAATCACTAGAAAACCAATGAGCTGATATACACTTCAGCAGCCAGTAGATCCTAGAGATGCTTGGCTATAAGAGCAACCATGGGAGCATGGCCAATACCCACCATGGAAAAGACGGTTGGAGGCTAAGATCAAGGCGGCTGCGGGATGAGAAGTTGAGTCAAATTAACAGAGCCCAGAGAGGTGCAATGAAAAGACCAGTATCACCTAGAAAGTACAGCCAGCTGCTCCATTGATTCATCCCATATAAACCAGAAGCCACTTTCAAAGAAAAACAAGCCGAAACTGCACAGGCTCCTAAGCCCAGGCCCAGCCGGCCCTACAGCGGAACAGCTAAAGAGAATGAAGCCAGAAGGGTGAACAGGCTGTTCGCAACACAACCTGCGAAGGTTGTACGCTCAGTGGCAGGGTAACAACAGGGGAGCAGATCCCACCGAGGCTGGAAACTGAACAGTTCTGGAGGAACATATGGGAGAAGGATGCAGCACATAACAGAAGTGCACAATGGCTGGTGTCCCTGACGAGGGAGCACAGCCACCTCCCAGCACAGAACTCAGTTACCCATCCCAGAGGCAGACTCCGAGAAAGAGTCTCAGGTATCAAAAATGGACAGCACCGGCCCTGATATGGTCCATGCCTACTGGCTAAGGACCACTCACATCACTCCCTGAGCGCCTCAGCAGCACAAATGAACCAGCTGCTGAGAGATGGGACTCACCCAAATGCTAACCGAAGGGCGAACGGTACTGATCATGAAGGACCCTGTCAAGGGTGCAGTCCCCTCCAACTACCGGCCAATAAACCTGTCTATCCCCACAACATGGAAGCTCATGTCAGGCATCATTGCGGCTAAGATAAGTGGGCATATGGAACAATTCATGAGCACAGCACAGAAGGGCATTGGTAGGGACACCAGAGGAGCCAAACACCAGCTCTGGTTGACAGAACAGTCGCCCAAGACTGCCGGTCACGACACACCAACCTGTGCACAGCCTGGATTGATTACCAGAAAGCCTATCGCAACTCAATGCCACACACCCTGGATCATGGAATGCTTGAAGTTGTACATTTCAACAGGGCTCTAAGGGACTTCGTTGCCAACTCGATGGGAATGTGGAAGACCACCCCTTGAGGCAAATGGCAAGCCGCTCGCACAAGTGACCATCAAATCCAGTGGTATCTACCAAGGAGATGCTCTGTCCCCACTACTGTTCTGCATAGGCCTCAACCCTCTAAGCCCAAGTAAATGACCAGACTGGCTATGGATACCGCCTCAGGAACGGAGCAAAGATCAGTCACCTCCTCTACATGGATGACATCAAGCTGTACGCAAGAGCGAGAGAGACATCGGACTCTCTGATCCAAACAACCAGGATCTACAGCCATGACATTGGGATGTCATTCGGGCTCGAGAAATGTAGCAGGATGGTGACTCGGAGAGGGCAAGGTAGTCCACACAGAAGGGATCTCACTCCCAGAGGGAACAATAGCAGACGTTGAGGACAGTTACAAGTATCTCGGTATACCACAGGCCACATGGCAACCTCGAACAGGTGACGAGGAAAGCGGCAACTGCCAAATACCTCCAGCGAGTAAGGCAGGTCCTAAGAAGCCGGCTCAATGGCAAGAACAAGGCCCGGGCAAGTAACAGCTACGCCCTGCCAGTGATCAGATACCCTGCAGGAATAATCAGGTGGCCAAAGGAAGAGATTCAGAACCCACGGATGTTAAAACTCGAAAGCTCCTTACCATGCATGGCGGGTTCCATCCCAAATCCAGCACCCTGAGACTGTACGTAAGCCGTAAAGAACGGAGGCCGAGGACTAGTGAGTGTGAGAGCCACTGTCCAGGACGAAACATCCAAACTCCATAACTACATCATGGAGAAGGCCAAAACGGGATGACGTACTCAGTGAAATGTCTCAGGCAGTGGCGAGATGAGGCGGTGCTGGAGGAGAGCCCATCATGGGAGAACAAGCCCCTACACGGCATGTACCACCGGAGCATAACAGAAGTGGCTGATCTCCATGAGGTACAACACATGTATGATGCCACAGTTGCCGAGGTCAGAGGGGAGATCCCACCAACTGCAACTCCCCAACCAGGTATTGGGTACATAGCCCCAATGGAACTGATAACGCTGAACGAGGCAGCGACTGACCTGAAAGCTAAGATCCTGGCTAGAATGGGCACAGGGCAAAGACACCGGCTACAGCGGTTGTGTGAAGTACCACCTAAGGATCTCATAGAAAGCGTGAATGCAGCAGTGAGGGCAATACCTACCACCACAATCACTGAAACCAATGAGCTGATATACACTTCAGCAGCAGTGATCCTAGAGATGCTTGGCTATAAGAGCAACCATGGGAGCCATGGACAATACCCACCATGGAAAAGACGGTTGGAGGCTAAGATCAAGGCGGCTCGGAGAGAAGTGAGTCAATTAACAGAGGCCCAGAGAGGTGCAATGAAAAGACCAGTACCCAGAAAGTACAGCCAGATGACCATACCTGAAGCACTCGAAACTGCCAAACAAAGGCTCCAAGCCCTGGCCAGCCGCCTACAGAGGTACACTAAAGAGAATGAAGCCAGAAGGGTGAACAGGCTGTTCGCAACACAACCTGCGAAGGTGTACGCTCAGTGGCAGGGTAACAACAGGGGAGCAGACCCACCGAGGCTGGAAACTGAACAGTTCTGGAAGAACATATGGGAGAAGGATGCAGCACATAACAGAAGTGCACAATGGCTGGTGTCCCTGAGAGAGGAGCACAGCCACCTCCCAGAACAGAACTCAGTTACCATCACAGAGGCAGACATCCGAGAAAGAGTCTCAGGTATGAAAAACTGGACAGCACCTGGCCCTGATATGGTCCATGCCTACTGGCTAAGGACACTCACATCACTCCATGAGCGCCTAGCAGCACAAATGAACCAGCTGCTGAGAGATGGGACTCATCCAGAATGGCTAACCGAAGGGCGGACGGTCCTGATCATGAAGGACCCTGTCAAGGGTGCAGTCCCCTCCAACTACCGGCCAATAACCTGTCTCTCCACAACATGGAAGCTCATGTCAGGCATCATTGCGGCTAAGATAAGTGGGCATATGGAACAATTCATGAGCACAGCACAGAAGGGCACTGGTAGGGACACCAGAGGAGCCAAACACCAGCTCCTGGTTGACAGAACAGGCGCCCAAGACTGCCGGTCACGACACACCAACCTGTGCACAGCCTGGATTGATTACCAGAAAGCCTACGACTCAATGCCACACACATGGATCATGGAATGCTTGAAGTTGTACAATATCAACAGGGCTCTAAGGGACTTCGTTGCAAACTCGATGGGAATGTGGAAGACCACCCTTGAGGCAAATGGCAAGCCGCTCGCACAAGTGACCATCAAATGTGGTATCTACCAAGGAGATGCTCTGTCCCCACTACTGTTCTGCATAGGCCTCAACCCTCTAAGCCAAGTAATTGACCAGACTGGCTATGGATACCGCCTCAGGAACAGAGCAAAGATCAGTCACCTGCTCTACATGGATGACATCAAGCTGTACGCCAAGAGCGAGAGAGACATCGACTCTCTGATCCAAACAACCAGGATCTACAGCCATGACATCGGGATGTCATTCGGACTCGAGAAATGTAGCAGGATGGTGACTCGGAGAGGCAAGGTAGTCCACACAGAAGGGATCTCACTCCCAGAGGGAACAATAGCAGACGTTGAGGACAGTTACAAGTATCTCGGTATACCACAGGCAAATGGCAACCTCGAACAGGTGACGAGGAAAGCGGCAACTGCCAAATACCTCCAGCGAGTAAGGCAGGTCCTAAGAAGCCGGCTCAATGGCAAGAACAAGGCCCGGGCAATTAACAGCTACGCCCTGCCAGTGATCAGATACCCTGCAGGAATAATCAGGTGGCCAAAGGAAGAGATTCAGACCACGGATGTTAAAACTCGAAAGCTCCTTACCATGCATGGCGGGTTCCATCCCAAATCCAGCACCCTGAGACTGTACGTAAGCCGTAAAGAAGGAGGCCGAGGACTAGTGAGTGTGACTAGTGACTAGTCCAGGACGAAACATCCAAACTCCATAACTACATCATGGAGAAGGCCAAAACGGATGACGTACTCAGTGAATGACTCAGGCAGTGGCGAGATGAGGAGGTGCTGGAGGAGAGCCCATCATGGGAGAACAAGCCCCTACACGGCATGTACCACCGGAGCATAACAGAAGTGGCTGATCTCAAGAAGTCCTACCAATGGCTAGAAAGGGCTGGCCTACAGGACAGCACAGAGGCGCTCATCATGGCTGCACAGGAACAGGCACTGAGCACCAGAGCGATAGAGGCCCAGATATACCACACCAGACAAGACCCAAGGTGTCGGTTGTGCAAAGAGGCACCTGAGACAATCCAACACATAACTGCAGGGTGCAAGATGCTGGCAGGGAAGGCCTACATGGAACGCCATAACCAAGTGGCTGGCATAGTGTACAGAAACATCTGTGCAGAGTATGGGCTGGAAACCCCAAGGTCTAAGTGGGAAACTCCTCCAAAGGTGGTGGAGAATGAGCGTGCGAAGATCCTGTGGGACTTCCAGATACAGACCGACCAAATGGTAATGGCGAAACAACCTGACATTGTGGTGGTAGACAAAGGGCAGAGGACAGCCGTGGTGGTGGACCTGGCAATTCCAAGCGATGGTAACATCCGGAAAAAAGAACATGAAAAGCTTGAGAAATACCAAGGTCTCAGAGAGGAGCTGGAGAGGGCCTGGAGGGTAAAGGTGACAGTAGTGCCCGTGGTGATCGGTGCACTCAGGGCAGTGACCCCGAAGCTAGAAGAGTGGTTACAGCGGATCCCTGGAACAACCTCGGACATCTCGGTCCAGAAATGTGCAGTGCTAGGAACAGCAAAGATACTGCGCAGAACCCTCAAGCTCCCAGGCCTCTGGTAGAGGACCCGAGCTTAGAGAGGGATAACCGCCCGCGGAGGGCCAAAGGTGAGTGGACAATTTTATTATATATATAATGAAATTAAAATGTGAGGAGTTATACCTTTTAACCTAACTAAATATCAAATTTACGATAGCAACACACTAATAAAAAAGAGACAGATTTTGGTTTTAGCCCAGTGATTCCCAAAGTGGGCTTTGGGGCGCCCTCTACAGGCCACAATGTGTGTTGAGGAAACAAGAATACAATAAAAGTACATACAAAATGAAACAATGTCACGTTTATCATATACTGATTTATCAACTTGATGTTTAACGAGTTGGTGTAGACAAATAATACAAATGTATATACATCCAAGTTCAGGCTGTGTGATGGAATAGATTCATGGTCATACACAGTAAATATAGTAAATATGTCCATGTAATAAATATGTATCATGTCGTAATAGTTGTTGAAAAAATAAATGAATGTGTCTGAAGCATAGACTTTCTGAAGAGAGGAACCTTTCAGAGAAATCTGGACCCCGGAAACGTAACTAATTTCTAGTTGCACAGGTCGGAAGTTGTCTCCTGGAGTCACATTGAAATTTGCTTAATTCATCCTTCACGTCAAACCACAAGGTAGTTTTACTCATCCACTTTTTTGCTTTGATAACATGTATTTGTTTGACTTCTTGGGTCTGTGTGTTGTTCCTGACAGCCTGTGTCCACACGGACACAGCTAAGCTACGCTAGCACCACCATTAGCTTTCCTCGCCACATAATAATGATCAAATATACACAACTAGCTGTTATATCACTGTGCTTCAACCTATATTGAATTATAATCAAGTTGTTTGTTTGAGTGTATTTACACGTGTGCCATCTTGCAGCATGAAACAGTGATGGATTGTTAGGATGAAATATATAGTGGTGATGGTTCATATGTTTACCTCTTGCACTGTTTCCACAGAATACGTGCAGCGTTTCCTGATGAATGTTTCATTAATGCAACATATAAGATGTTTACCTCAAAGCTGCTTCGTCTCGGGCTGCTATGCAGAGTGACAGGTGAGGCTCTCTTATCTAATATCCTCTTTATGTTTCCATACATAATGTTGTTTTTATTGGCTGTTCTTCTCGTCACAGGTTCTATACATATAGTGGGACGCCCTCTTCATCGGCTCATTCCTTCTTGCACTTTACTGAAACATAGCTATTCGACTGCAGCAGATAACACACCGCCTCCACGATGGGTGCAGCTGGAGCCTGAGCTTGAGGAGGCTTTGGTTCCACGGAAGCTGTCCGTGAGTCCTTTGGAGAGCTGGCTGTCTCTACGCTACTCCCTCCCTGCTGCCCTGGAGCCTACCCTGGCCCAGGAGGAGGCTGAACGGCTAGAGGAGAAGGTCCTTCCACCAGGGTCTGTTCCAGTGCTGGAGGATGACAGCGGGTCGGCCGCACCTCTCAGCTGTAGAAATGTGTTGAAAATCCGTCGGAGGAAGATGAACCGACACAAATACAAAAAGCTTCTAAAGCGGAGGAAGTTTGTGAGGAGGAGAGTGATGGAGGGCAGAGGCAAAAAGAAACAGGTGAGCATCACTGTGGCATTCACTTACAAATACATTATTTATGCCAAATGGTCTTCATCAAGGCAACCTACAAATAATTATAAAATCTCACTTTTATATTTTGTTGCATTTAATGTCTGCCATTCAATGAAGTTACCTTTCACTTGCAGAAGAAATTTGAAAGCGATCTCAAGAGACTTTGGAGAAAAGCTGGACTAAAAGCGGCCCCAGAGGGATGGAACACCCCAAAACTCTTCATTAAACAACATGGAAATAAATAAGACTGGTCATCGACAACACTTCAACACGCTCTGAACAAAGAGATGATTTTATGCCTTTTCAATAATGAATATTCCACAATCTGTAAAATATTTAATACCAAGGTGTTTAATGCTGAATAATAAACAACTGAACTTAGATCTGTTTGGTGCAGTTTCACTTTTACACAGTAGATGGCAGTGTTTACCACAAGATATGTTGCATGGACACTTTTTGAAAATCGAATAATTTATAATTTTCATATTTCTATGTTATCGTTATTTACTGTTAATTACTGTGGCCATGAACAGAATAGAAAAAAATGAATTACAATCCAGGACACTTTCTATACTGCAACCTGGGCTTCCACGGACTCACATTTCTGAAAAACATGGTGCCTACAGAGATACTAGAGTTTGCTATTTAAGAACGTGGGGCGATGTGTGTGTTGTTTAGTGCTAGAGGTGGATCTCGCGCAGGTAAACGTCCAACTACAGCTTCGAGTTGCGTCTGTACTGGGTCCGTGTTGGGTTTCAGTGGGAAAGGGGCGGCGCATGTGGACCGAGGATAAAATAAACAGCTGGATGTGTTTGCAGCCGCAGCGCTTTGTGTCTCTGCGTCTCTGCTCTGAAGCCTCTGCACAAGCCGCTCGACATGACGCTTTTTCACAGTAAGTCTCTGAACACACTGGACTTTTGGAAACGAGTGCATTTGTAGTTTACTACGTGGATGTCAAGTTTCCAAGTTCTTGCAGAATTGACCCTTTTCAAACTTTTGTTACCCATCAAAAATGCTTGTCTGCCTCAATAGTAAGTATTTTAAAAGTATTTCTTGTGTGAACAAATCATACCACAACCTGCTGTCTTTATCTTTTTATCTTTTGCATATTTGTTAAGGTAGAAAGTCACTATTTGACGCTTTGAGTTAAGAGCTGATTGGCTGAGTGAGGTTCCGTTATTTGGGGTTTTAAAGTTGGTTACCCCAACTTTAAGCAACTTTTCAAACTTTTTTTTATAGACCCCAGGTAAAATTTTAAAAGAATTGGAAACAAGAGCAAGATTAATGTACTAAATACATTTTATTTCATTAATTAAATGTAATTTTGAACTCATTTCAAACTTATACATATACTTTTTTTCTTACCTTTCTGTCAACTTTATACATTATATATATTTACAAATTTCTAGAGTAAAATATGGTGTGTCCAACATATTTTAGTTTTTTTTCCTTTTGTTTCATGTGTGCGTTTATATATGTGTGTAGGGATTGTATTTAAAAATGCAATACAAAATAATGGTATTAAAAACAAATTTCTTTAGATTCCATGTATACTGTGAAGCCAGGCTGTTTCGTGCCTGTTGTGATGTGTTGGGGCTTTGTGGCACGGGCCCAATATGTTTCCAGTTAAATGCGGTCAGAGTCAGCACAATCCTAAAGGCCTCATTACTGTATGGTGGGGTGCTCACCACAGAGGTCTGCTTTGAGGGTGCAATTACCGCCCTGCACACCTTTAAGGATTAGGCTACTGTTCTAATGATAGAGTAAGAGGCTGTCTGTTCACTCCAGTATCAGCCTACTATTGGTACATGCTTTATTCTGTTTATGTGGATCAAGGCTGTAAGAAAGAACTTGTGTTTCTAGAGAAGAGTAGAATCTCCAGGGACCTTTCAATGGATCTTTGTTGCTTTTAGCTGATACTGCACTTAGACATGTCTGTACGCAGTGACTAAGCTGTGAGCAAACTTTGAATTTCCCCCAAATCCATCCGTAAAAGCTGCTGAGAGAGAGGAGGACAAAAACAAGTCCAAATCAGGAATTTAAAGGAGAAATGTGATGCATTATTTGGCCATTACAAAGGATAATGGGAATATTCACTTCGTCATTATATAATCTGAAATTAATCTGAATAAAAATGCTTCCCGCCTGTAACTCCCCATGCCAAGACCAGGGCAGGGAGTAAAATTTGTTTAATTCTTTTCCAAATTTGAAAAAGTAGTCCAGGAGGACATTTCCATTAAGAAATTGACAACACTGATTTTGTGGCAATACTTTTGTTTTAAAGAAGACATATAACAATATCTTTTGGCTATTAAACATGACAATGAGACTTTTTATTTATTCATTTCACGTTTTAGAATGCAAAATAATATCTTCAGTCAAAAATATACGTATGAAGGGTAAACAATGCTATCAGCCTGCCCTATCTCTACGCTACCACAAGAGGGAGGAGTAGAATCTGCGTTCCTATTACATACAGTATATAGTGTGTGTGAAATGATTTTTGGTTTGTGACGTGATCGTGATTAATGTAATTTCAATAGAGACATTGACAAAACTAATAAAGGGAAAGTACTTTTGTTTTAAAATGCAGAAAATTGCTCTGAATATGATGTCATAGTAGTTCAATGACATCATACTATGACAGGATCTTTTAGACAGAAGGGCTCGAGTTACATGTTTTGACCAGAAGTTCCCAATATCTACTTCGATTGATCTAGAAACGACTCTAGGTCTGCTTTGATGAGTAAACAATGTTGTTACATGGTTAAAAATGGCCCTCTCCCCTGGCTCCACATAACTCTGTTTAGGTGAGTGTAAAAGTGACCTCCAGTTTCAAATAGCAGCATTGCTATTGCAGGTAATTGGTTAAATGTGTGTTATTATGCAGCGCAGCTCAAAAGCACATTGTTAAGTCGTCAGCATTAGAGCAGCCTTGAGTCATCAGCTCTGGAGAAGCAATGGGGCAAAATTACAGGGTCTGCTACTTTGTTTTACCTTCCACTTGAAGAAACAATCTCCAGTAGAAAAACCACCAAGATTGAAGCCTTTTCTGGTCTGCAACAATGATGTGCCACTAATGAAAAGGCCACAGATATGTTTGTAATATGTCTGTAGATTGATATAACATCTGGATTGAGAAATGTTTGACTTTAAGTATTATTGCACATTCCTCATGCAGCTCAAATGAAAGACAAAACACAAGAAAGAAGAAATATTGATATCGGGCACATTTATATAAAAGACTTATGTTACTCAAAGCCTGATTGAAGTCTTCCCCTTTGGAGTATCAACAAACAACAGCTCTGTGGGAAATATATGACTATTAACTGACTATTAATTGAAATCTTTTTTATTGAGATCCATGTAACTTCTTGGCTATGAAACACTAGACTCTAAATCACTAGTTTTAACAGGCAGGTACAGTATATTTGGCTTCTGTCAGATCTTTTCAACATCTTTGTCAGACAGAAAAGCGTATAAGAGAGGATCACCCTTTCCTCTGCTCAGCTCAAAGTGTCAAATAGTGAGTCTCAAAGCTCTTTCTTATATATAAATAGCATGTAATAAGGTGGTTTCAAATAAGATAATAAGACGGCATAAGACAACATTTGCTCACAACATTCAAGTCTCTTCCTGTTGGGACAAAAACATGTATTTATGGATCATAAAAAGTTAGGTGCCGCATCTTTAAGTGCACTTTCTGTTTCTCCCTCTAGAGGTTGTGCACACAGATATCTGCTGTGTGCGCTCGAGGTCAAATATGCAACTCTTCAACTTCAGCCAATTTCCAAAAAGATTTGATTACTACAAATGCATTTACAACATGTTTGAGTTTTAGTTTGAGGCTAATGTTGGGTTGATATTTTCAAATATAATTCATGCTGTTTTTGTCTTCTCTTTCAGTTTTTGCTTTGTTCTTTCTGCCTGAAGGTAAGACATCGACCTCAACCAACTCATTATCGCTCTACCATTCTACCCACGCATGACTTACAATATTTTCAAAATTACAACAAAGACTTGGCATATGTGACTTTGCATGTGATGAATCTCCTCTGTGTGTACTGGTTTCACATTTCAAGTGGAATTACAGAACAATATTCTATAATATCCCGAACCTTGTTGGACCGAGCCTTCGCTGCAGCCGCCCCACTCTCTGGAACTCACTCCCTCAACCAATCAGAAACTCAGACTTACTACAGAACTTTAAATCTCTTCTCAAAACCCACCTGTCTCAGCTTGCCTCCTTAATTTTGTTTTTCAATGTTTATTTCTATGTGTTTTGTAAAGCGTCTTTGAATGTCCATAAAAGCACTATTTAAGTTTGATAGATTATTCTTTATGATTATTATTGAAGATGTTTGGTCCTGCTGTGATCTTTATAAGGATAATACAATACTCTACAATAGACTCCCCCTTTCAGGTCTAAAGTCCTACATTTACTTCTGTCCAGCGAGTGACCATGCACATGTGTCTCATGTGTTTTCAGAGTGGACTAGTACTAATATTCTTACAGTTCACTAGTACCTGAGTTGAATAAATCGGTTTGCTGACTAGAGTAATATTTTGACTAAAAGAATATTAATAATCAATGGAAGAAGAATTGTCCAATACGATAAATGGATATTGATCTACAAATCTGTGGCTATAACTGGTCGACCTATGATCCAGGGCTTTTTAAACCCTTAAATCTTGGATATGTCGTACATTTAATGCTTAAAAATGTGCACAATTCCACCTATATTTTCATTTTTTTTATTCAAATCCCCTTCAAACCTACTCCACCATATTCCTTTATTGGTCCCACTGAGGGGACATTTCAGTGTTGCGTGACCAGACACAGAATGAGGAGCACACAACACAAGATAAATGAACAATAACTTTGCACTAAAACAAAATAAAATAAAATCTCTAACTTTAGCATAGTAATGAAGCAAGTATAAAACACTGTATGTTCTAGTGCAAGAAATATATAGTGGTATGTATACATCTATGTTAGCAGCATATATGAGACAATGTGACAGTGGACACATGTGGTTCTATATCTCACATTCTGAAATTATACCAAAATAATGTGTTGTTGTGGTGCAGTGCTGGGCCAGGGCAGCAGCTCCCGCCCCGGTGTGGTGGTGGAGGCCCGGAACATCACCCTCCCGGCTGGCTCTCGGGCCGTGCTTCCCTGCAGAAGCCCCAGGATGGTGTGGACCCAGGACAGACTGAAGGACCGGCAGCGCGTGGTGCACTGGGACGTGGTCCGCAGCAGCCCTGAGTATTCTGTAGAGAGGGTCCTGGACATGTCCCCTGGAGCCAAGCAGCGAGTCTACAACAGCTTCAACAAGGGCCGAGTGTCTCTCTCTGAGGAGGCCTTTAACGACGGGAACTTCTCCCTCGTCATCAACAGTAAGACCACACATCACTGTATTATATTTATTATTATAGATTATGTTTTCAGTGGCTGCTGCTAATTACTCCAAAGTTTGACTCCTCAATGGCCAATTTTATCTATACATTTTTTTTTTTTTTTTGAAAGACCACTAAAACGGAATAACAGAAAGCTAATGAGCTGGCTAGCAATGACAATTTTTTTTTAGCAGTTAATTACATAATGCCTTGATGGATATTGATGGGAACAGGCGAGGAACCCCTGAACACCAAGATATTGTGTTTTTGTATGGCTCATCTTTCCATTTACATAAACACACACGCACTATAGTAAAATTATTTAGTAAATGATTTTAGCTTTTTAGGTTGATTGTATGGAGTAAAAAAACAAGGGTGTTTTAGCATGAAAATAAATATACTATCAGCCAGATACTGTATGTTAGCTATAATCAGAAGGAATGGAACAGGCAGTTGAGGAATGAAGAGAACATTTGAAGAGATTATTAGGAACATTAGGACATTCTGAAGTAGATAGATCGATTGTACGCCAAATTGTGTGAGATTACAGCCAAAAGAACAGCGTAACCATGGAAACCGCCCTCCTCTTGCCAAGTCTTAGCTAAATAATGGTTTAAAGTGCTTCTAGCCAGGAAGAGAAGAATCGTCAATGAAGGGAAGCTCACAAAGGGAGAGAGCATTTCTGTTTCGTTTGGTTCGAATGGAAAAGATTGATACCATACATTTATATCAGTCACAAGATCTCAGAAATGTTCATTGTCTTCAGCTTTATAGGATTCTGACCTGAAATGTTTTACAGACGTGGTTACGACTGACAAAGGAGTCTACACCTGCAACCTGCACCACCACTACTGCCAGGTCCACCAGAACATCCAGATCCAGCTCAACGTCACCAAATCAGGTCCAACCTCAACTATATACGACTCAAAGTCAAAGTCACGTACACAAGGACTACATCAGGGATACTCATAAAAACACAGAACTTGAAGTATATAGTACAAAACATGGAATAGTGGAAAGAATATTAGACCAAAATCACTTAGATTATTGTTATTTTGCCAGTGTCATTAATAGATGATGATTATGATTTAATTTACAGAAGACAAATCTACAAAGAAAATTTAAGTATCTTAATGCTGGAGTATTTTTATTTCTCACAAAAAATAAGAACAAAGCCGATCACAGCATTCTGAAGTTGTGTTATATTATGCATACTGGTAAGAAAATGCCCTGTGAGTCACTAATTGACGAAATGAGAGTTGAGATTGAGAGTGGCTGAACTACTTGTTTTAGCTTTTCTGTCTGAAATAGCTGCCAAAAAACACACATGAACACTACTGATAGAACTGTTTTTAGAGTTAGGAACTAGTTGGATCGACTTTACTACATAAATCCAGTTCTCCAAGTTTGGTACCCCTGCTTTGTACAATAATATTTCGTTTTTTTGATGATGAAGAGGGAAGAAGAAGACAGTTTATCAATGTGAAACTAACTTACAGATATAAAATCTTATTCCAGCACGTAAAGAGAGGCGGTACTGGGACGGGGAGAAGACCGTGCTGGTGGTGTTATTGGGCAGCTCGGTGGTGCTTCCATGTGTGAACCGGCGCCCCCTGTGGCGGGAGGGGGCACAGGAGGAGCAGCAGCAGGTGGCTCACTGGGACTACCAGGCTCCGGGAGTGAGACCAGACCGGGCCGAGCGCCTGGTGGACCTGTATGCGTCCGGGGAGCGCAGGGACTACGGGCCGCTCTTCCGCCAGCACAAGATGAGCATCGACCCGGATGCCTTCACTCTGGGGGACTTCTCTCTGTCCTTTGCGGAGCTGAGTCCCGCAGACATCGGCCTGTACTCCTGCTTCCTCCACCACCACTACTGCGGGATACAGGAGAGGCGCATCTTTAGGCTCACCGTGGGACCCCCGACTGCAGCCAAGCCCTCGACCACACGGCCCCCCATCCAGAGCAACGACCTGCCTGAACCAAGTAAGACTACATCCAACTATTAACCCTCTATGGGTTTCCTCAACCATTTGGTGGATCCCTTTTTGAGTCGCTTTTTGAGTCACTATAGCCAGGGGTGCACATAACTTTTTCAGTGAGGTTCTCAGATGAGTAATAAGAGATGGTGTTTGGTACTCACTCCATTTGTCGCGTGGTTTTTAATGGAGATTTTATACTTGCTTCTTTTTAATGCTGAAGTTTAGATCAGCTCAGATAATCCAATCCAAGTCAAATAATGACTCACAGGGCTCTTTCTTAAAAATGCAAAAAATAAAAACAACAATGTTCTGTTGATTTGTTCACAACATTTTACTTTTGAGCACAACCAACATTATTATGCATTATTAATGCAAGGCTAAATGTAGGTACCACAGCTGTAGAAACACGGGGAGGGCATGGACACTCCCTTAAGGCTCCAGAGTCCAGCTCTGTTTCTCCAGTAACACAATATGTATTTATTTATTTTGCGTTACGCAAAGACACACACATGCAACAAGCAGAGAATGGTCCGTGCTGTGTACATTAGTCAAGGAGCCGCTGTCATTACAAAGCAGCCGGAGTGGCTCTGGAGTCAGAACGCTGCTGCCACGGAGGATTTGGAATCCTGTTCAAGTACGTTCAGCAAACAGCAGCAAGTGCTCCGCGATCACGCACACCCTCTCTGGCATTGCACAACACCCCCCTAGGGAGGACTGGTCTATGTGAAGTGCGCTTACTAAACTCAAGTGATAGTATGCATTTCTGATATTTGTCGCGCATGCGTACCTGTGTACCACTTATGTGCACCCCTGACTATATCTACTTGAAGCTTGGAACTGAAATCTACCTGATTGGGATATCTTTTTCACTTGGTTTTAGGCACTTTTACCATTAAGCTGCATCTCAACCATTCATCATACATCTACATCTTAGAAAAAAAACAAAATTTACCCAAACCCAAAAAAAACAAAGTTTACATTGCTTTCTGTCAGAAGTGAACATACAAGCGTTAAAGCCTCATATGCTCTTGTATTTATCCCCTTAAAGCTGGGGTTCTTCTCTTTATGTTTCATACTCTATACATCTGGTTTGACCCAACAGTAAAATGTTGTGAACAAAGTCCACACCATGCTGTCCTCATTTTACCTTTAGAAAACATGTTTGCATAGTAAAGAGCCGCTTGAGTCACTTTTGACGTTTTGCGCTGAGAGTGGATTGGAGCGTGGTTCTCTCTTTTTCTGTCTGAAAAAGAACCAAACTCAGACCATGGAACTAGTTACATGGATTTAATATATAATTCTATTTTATGTGTTGTGAAAGTTGGGTACCTTATTTTTAACATTGGAGCAAACTGATGGATCATGCACATCATCCAAGAGAATTAAACCAGGATAATGGCACAGACGATTTTACTTTGCACCTGCAGTTCAGATACATTCACCCCACAGTGCCTTCCATTCAAAATATTCTCATCATTATCATAACAGTGTTTTGGTTGATTTAAGTCCTCACGGCACATGTTACACTCCTTATTTCACCAAAACGTACTTAAAATTATATGTTTAAGATTTGACACTTATAAGGATGGTTCAGATGTATCTATGGGCATGGTCACATAGGTTTTTATTAACGAACTAGGCCAAGTGGCCCGGATCGTCACCACAGGGTTGTGAAAACGGCCCGCGGTCACGATTCTGTTTACATTCTGCTACTGTAGCTTAACAGCTCGAGTACGGATCGCGTTGTTTAGGGAAAGAAACATCTCACACTTGTCCACATTACTCTGATGCAAAGTGCAGCAGGTGTGTGTGTGCGTATGTGTGTGTGCGTGTGTGTGTGTGTGCCGCGGACATGAGAGCGCGCCTGTGTGGCGTACAATCAGAGCGACCGGAGCCAGGCAGGATACAAGTGTGTGTTGGTGTGTGCTGCCGATTAAAAGACTGATTCCTGAATGTCTGAAGTGTTATTGCAATAGCACCACACTGTGAGAGCGAGGGTCAGAACAGAGGGAGTTATTCCCGTAGGAAACGCTTCTCTTTGGCCCTGCAGTGACACACTCCCCTGCGCCCCTCGACCACTGTCCGGGGGCTTATATGAAAGGTTTAACTCAAGCTGAGACGAGACATATTTTCAGTTGTTTTCATACTATTTTATAAGTACGTACTTAATTCCACATGAGTTAATTCATAGTTTTGATGCCTTCAGTGTGAATCTTAAACGTTCATAATCCTGAAAATAGAAAATAAAAAACTTTTGGTCTGTACTTTATTCCATTTCCATGACAACGCATATTTTCATGTATGTTCTATTCTCTGTAATTTGGCATTCCATATCCATGGCAACCCTATGTCATTCCATATCCATGGCAACCCTATAAAGAGGTTCTAGAACTTTCAAATTTACAGGCTTAGAGCAGAAGCATATCCAGAAGTAATCTGACAACCACATTTGAGCCTTGAAATACAAGCAGCAATACAGAGCAGTTGATCAACATGATGAAAAACTGGTACGAATACACACCGGAGGACAACGAAGCATTTTACACTGAGGAATTCAACCTCATGGAAGTGCTGGGTGAAAATCCTGAAGCGGTCCATCCCTCTGAACCAGCAGAAGAGGAGAAAGGACTCTCTGAACCAGCTGCGAAACTGGTCAGAGGCTTTTTAACTGCTGAAGAGCTGGAGACAGGGAGCTTTCAGCAGTTGGACACCACTGGAAAGTCCATGGGTGAAATTAACCGACTCAGACTACAAGTGGTCAATGAACGTCAGCTGAGGAGAAAGTCAGAGGACGAGATGGGCATGGCCCTCGTGATGCTGAAGCTGGACATGGCGGCCAAAGCTTCACAGGCCAAAACTAGAGAGGCCAATCTGCAGGAAGAGGTGGAACAGCTGAAGAGGAAGTGTCCTAAAGACGACACAATTCATGCTCTCCAAGTTGCGCATGAAATGAGCGTCCAAAAGCTTAAGAAAGAGCTCGAGGACGTGAAGTTGAATTTGCTCAACAAAACAAAGCGGATCATCTGTGCACATGAGATCCAACTCAACCAAAAAGCCAAAGCAAAGCAGGACGTGGAGGCTGAACTGAGCCAAGTGAGAGAAAAGAACAGCTCACTGCTCAATGAATCTGGGGAACTGAAAGCACAGATTCAGTCAAGGAACGAGGACATAGAGAGTTTGAAAAGCCAGGTTGCTGACCTAAAAGAAATGACTGAGACAATGAAAGACAACTCTCTGCAGCAACACCAAGAATGGAACCTTGAAAGACAGTTTCTTTGCCAACAAACAGAGGAAGTTAAGGCCCAACTGCTAAAGACAGAGACAGAAAGCAAACTGCTGCTGGAGAAGAACGGTCAGCTGGAAGCTTCTTTAGGTAATCTCAAAAAAGAACTGGAGAAGCTCTCAAAGAGATGTGGCAAACTGGACGGGCAACTGCAAAAAGAGACTGAAGAGAGGATCCTAATGCGTCAGAAAATCCAAGATAAAGACATTGAGATGGACGTGATGAAAGACGTGATCCAAAAGTCCAGGGACAGGAAGATCAATCTGAAGCTGCAGGTTCAGGAGGTTCAGGCCCGACTCCGAACCGAAGAAGAGGCCAAACGATTCCTGAACGAGTCACTGAACGAACTGAAGGAGGAGCTGGAGCGAGAGAAGCTGGAGAAGGCCGCCATTTTGAGAAACTGTGAGGATCTCAAAGAGGGACAGAGCACAGTACAGCAAGAGTGTTCTCTGCTGGAGGTCAAGGTTAGTGCTCTGTCCCAAAAACTAAACGAAACTGAAGAAGAGCGCTCCCTGCTGGAGGTAAAGTCCAGTGCGTTGGAACGAAAGCTGATAAAATCAGAAAAGAACTGCTCTCTGCTGGAGGCTAAGTCTAGAGCATTGACTCAAAAACTAAAGGAGACGGAAGAAGAGCGCTCTCTGCTGGAGGCCAAGTCCAGTGCGTTGGAGAAAAAGCTGATAAAAACAGAAGTGAACTGCTCTCTGCTGGAGGCTAAGTCCACTGCATTGACTCAAAAACTAAAGGAGATGGAAGAAGAGCGCTCCCTGCTGGAGGAGAGGTGGTTGGCCACGGAGCTGAAGCTGGAGAAGAAGCGTCAAAAGTGGTACAGGAAACTCCTGCGCTGCTAATTCCTCTAAACCTACATTGGGGGACTGTATAAATCTCAACATGAATGAATAAATATTCACAAGCAGTTATTCTTATGTTTTCTTTTTTTTTGACAGATCTGTCCACTTTAATTTACCATATTAATTTAACATGCACTTTTTCCTAAAACCTTGAACCTTAGGACAACTGTGGCTGCATAGTGTATTCTTTTGTAATTATTATGAAACAGTTTAATATACGGTATGTATTTTGGAGCATAACTCATATTTCTGTGCCTGAACCCCTTCACTGAGATAAAACAAAAAGTACTTTGACACCTGAGACTTTTCTATATAATCATAACAATAATAGTACCTTTTTATTATCGGCACCTTTTATGAAACCCTCAAACCCAGAAAACAAAGTGATAAAATTGTATTATTTTTGGTAATGGTTTAAGTTTTGATTCAGTCATATCACAGTCGCACATGTTTTTATTTGCACAAAGTGTTTATTTCAATATTTAACTTCATCGTTTTGCTGCTTAACCACATAACATGATTTGACATTTGAGTGTGTATATATCCACTATACTTCTATATTTTCTGCTCCCGAGACTTGTCTTTTCCCTTTTATTTATAGCCATAGCTGGTCAGTTAAGTCGGTTCTTTCTGTGCCAAGGCTGTGTTTTTGTGCTTGAGTTCAGGAGGAGGAGACAAGGCAAGAATGTCGAAAGCAGAAAAGCATGAGTTTAGTCAAATCAAATAAATACAGAAAGAAAGACATTTGCGTGACACAACGGACAACCACACATTGTCTCTGATCTCGCCGGCTCATCACCACAGACTTTTTACAAACCTTTTACTGCTCTTTTGTTTACCGCTGGAAACTTTTCATTTTAATTGTGGAGTGGAGGAGTAGCTGTGGGCGTGGAGGG